GATACTGTCTTCTCTAAGAGGTTTTTATATTTCCTATATAGTTGCCCAGAAGAGGAACAAGGCCCTGCTTTGAGCTGGGGAGTAGAACAGCGTGATGTCTTTAGTCTGTCTTCACTCTGGTAAGTCTTATTTTACATCGGCAGTCAATTGAAATTGATTAAATAAATGTAATTTGTCATTATGTTGCAAACCAATTTGTGGGTTGCTTTCACCAAAGAACATGGGTTTAGGTCCTGATCGATTGATATTGATGGGATTAGGGTTCTAACTATTAGGTCATTGACTAGAAAAGCCCTATTAAATTTAAAATGTAAGATAAGTATGCAGGGGCTTAAAGCTTAGACTGGTTTAGATCTTACCTGGCACGTAATTGAGTTACTGGTTAATCTTCCAATGGAAAGGAAAAGAAATATTATCTATTTGGATATGCAGCATCCTGAGAAACTCACTATTCATTTTACTGGAGCTCATGGTTGTATCAAACTCTTTGAAAACACCTACCATATAAATCCTCTTGCTGTGTCATTCGCAATTTTGTTAAATTTAAGAAATGCATTTGAGAAAAGATCTTGGGTCATTGAAAAGGTAGTAATCAAATAAATTATATTGTAATTTGATTGACTTTAGTGTCAGCATTTGGGTTTTTAAGACACATGGACTAATGTCAAAAACTGTGAGTGAGCAAAGAACAATGTGCAAAAGGAATAAATCCTGGGAACCTCACAAGAAGATCGAATATATCAAAATATTAAATATGAGATCTGATTGTTGGATATGTTTTGGTGTGAGTTCATTTTTAGCTGCATCCTGTGCTAAGATAATCATGTATTAATTTTCCCACATGCTAAATATTACAACATACTTAGTGCATTACAGCTCAATCGTAGAAAGGGTGTTTTGAGATTCCGGATATTTCAAAATATATTCTCATTCATATAGATACAATTAATTTGGCAACATTAGTATTCTGTACTTTCTATTGGCTGGAATATTACTCATCTTGGTGCATATGAAATCAAAACACCTGCAAAGAGTTCCATCAATATCCTAGTTCAATCCACCATGAGGCAAGTCATTTTATAGGTTGTGTTGAACAGGCTATATCTGGAATAACGTTCTGAATTCTAAGTTATCACATACAAAAAAGATATATACAAAGGAGAATATATTCAGCAAAGTGACCCACTTCTTAAGAGGCCTAGGAACTCTTATAAGAATGGTTAAAATAATTGCATTTTTTAAAAAAACACATGTTTTGTGATTATCATCTTTATTTTTTGTGTTGGGTGTTTAGCATACATACAACATGAATTTGTTGTGTTGGATATTTCAAATGCAGTTATACATGCTATATTATGCTTTTTTGAGACAAGACATCTTGTACGGAATGCAGAAGAACGGGGAAAAATAATGGCTAAGAAACTGAAGGCATGAGAATAAAAAGAAAAAGAAACACAGCTAAAATTAGTTTTTAATCATACTTGATAGGTTTCTATCTTTATAAAATCATCTTGGTTTCCACCATATTTATTTACCACTTCTTACAGTACATTTTAAACTTCTCACCCTCTTTTGTAAAAAATTTTTTTATCAATTCCATCCAAACATATCTTTCTCCTCTTTTTCCTTTTGACCCATTTATTTTTCTTTTACATATTTGCCTTTGTGATTTGATCCTCTTTCTCTCTCTCTCTCTCTC